ATTAACGGGTTTAGAAGAAAAAATATATATATATTTTTTTTTTTTGTATGCACCTGTGAGTGACACATGCTAAATTGCCAGGCACCATTTAAGGGTTAAATATGCCAAAACTAGAAGACAAAAGGAAAAGAAGTGATATGATCACTACATACAAAGTAGTAACAGGAATTGATAAAATGGACAGGGAAGGTTTCCCGAAACCTGCAACTTCAAGAACAAGAGGTCATAGATTTAACCCTTAAAGTGCGCATCACGTCATATGACATGTTGGAGTACTACGCAAGATTTAAACGGCCCGCGGATACACGGAGTTCACCACACATTCATCAGGGCTCTTGTAAACAGATGCCAGGTGTTATTGGCCTCGGTATTGAGTGAGCAACCAAGCCTGACGCACGCAGCATGAGCTAACAGCACTGCTGTTCAGCTTGTGACCACAGCATCGCCTAAAAATGCCTTAATATACTTGTTCATGCTATTATGTAGCGATATTATTACAGAAGACCTCTGACTGTGATAAAACTGACCAGGGTTCTGATAATAGCAGGATTGTGGTGATATTTAGCGCTGTGCGCCATGGAGGGAGGAGTAACGCTGTGAGAGGGAGGGTGGTGGCGATGTCTTCTGACTGTGTGTGGCCACCTTTTATTGACTGCACTCACCATACCAGCTTAGTAGTTCGCTATGGTGAACACAAATGTAGATACTTATATATAACGTGTGTATAGAGGGTATAAACAGCAAGAGAAGGTTGGGAGCCGCCATTTTGGTGAGGGCGGTGGCGTCGTCTGCACGACGCCACCGTGCAGATGACGGTGATGTTTACTGGTTACCACAATGGTCTTTGGGCACCATACCAGTTTATTTGTACAAGTATGGTGAATAAAACAGGTAGATATTTATATATAATGTGTGTATATAGCATAATAACATCACACAATATTGTTGGAGGAGAAATATTAGTGCGTCTGGCCTTGAGGGCGGCAGCCATCAGCTGACTGTGAGAGGTCCTACTGTTGGAAATTTCCAACACTAATAAACTACTATTGTATTATAATAAATCATTATCATTATATACTAACTACAGTAGTTACTAATTTTACTAACGATAGTGTCAATATAAATTAACCATTGCATCTGCGTATTAATGCTAGAATTCTCATGAAATCGAGTAGCAACATTGCGTCAGATAATGTCCAGTTAGACACATTTATTACCAATGGGTTCGAGAATTGAATGTGGTTCTCTAAAATCATCAGTATTCCGTGTAATAATTACTTACGGATAATATACAGTAACTCCCGATAATCTCAAACCGAGAGTTATTAACTAAATTGTTATGTAGTTACAGTCCTTTTTGTTATGTGCGAATGTCATGGAGAAAATAAAATCTTCTTCATTTCTCGTTTGACACCATAAAACGAGAATATGATAATATTTAAGTCCCTATAATTGCAACCCAGTTCTCATTAACGTATTACATCCATAATTGCGCGGAAAAGAATTATTCGTGATTAATAATTTCTGTGGTGAATGGGAGAGACGGGTTGAGGGAGGCGACGACGCCATTGTGAGGAAGGTAGCCCTGGCGTGAAGAGTGGCGAGACACGTGGTAGTGACTGGGGAATTTATCGGCAAGAATTACGCTGATACTCGATCAACAGTTGATAATTACTCATCCACGTGTTCTATAGTGCCCAGCCAGTTAATAACGCGTCAACAATCGAAGCCAAGACCCGTAATTACACGTACACAGCAGTGAACGTCAGGGACTAGCTGACGCGGTTCCGGCAGACCTCAGTATTCAATACGCTCATGATAAGTGTATGTTTCTCGTTTGATGCATCATCCAAGATTATATATTTGCGAGTAGTTTGTCGTCATAACGGGAATACCCAATATACAACGTTAGTACTAATTCGGCAATTTTCTCCGTTTTCATGAATATTTAAATTAAAACGTAGCCTATTCAAATGCTACTTAATTTTCTCTGATTTCAGCGTGTATGCGAGGAGTCATCAAGTTGTTTCTCTTCATTCATGTTATTCACCTCTAGTTCTTTCTTTGTGGAGATCCTGTGAACATGAGGACGAATGATGAAACGATGTTATAGAAATCGTCTTAAAGCCAAGACCCTTTTCGTACAAATTTATTTTATATGATTTGATTCTTATATAATCCTTGTAGAATCTTTGCATTGAATAGATTATTACCAGAAATGATGAATGGTAATCAATGTGTTTGCTCTGACTGTTGCTCAGTAATTTATAACCTTTAATATTCACAATTTGAGTTCTCATATTTGAATCTATAGTAGTTTAGATTTATAATATCATTTACTCAGCAATGAACTGGTGGCGAACCACACTAGTTCCTAGATGTATATGAATTTCTAGAAATACCCCCCCAATGTAGGTGTTTGAGGCTCTGACTAATTAATTAATCATACAGTCCATTCATTATTTCAAGTGATTATCCTTTTAATAATTATCCATAGACACTGGTTCTCTAGTGTTATTCTAATGATCACTTTTATTAGTTTTCCCTCTTTTCTCAAAAGTGGGTGGTCCTTCGATTTATTAAATCAAATAAGTAAATAATTGAATATATGAGTCAAGCCCCAGATATCCAACACCTACGTCTTTGTGCCTTTACTCACCATACAAGCTTAGATGTACAGTTATGGTGAACAAAACACGTAGATACTTGTATATAATGTCTGTATATAGTGAATTATAGCAAAAACAGTATTGTGGGAGGAGAATGTGGGCGAGTCTGATGACTTGAGGGAGGGCGGGAGTGGCTGGCTGGAACACGGCGGTCACTCCTCGTTACTTTTTGACTCATAATAGCTACTTAGTGGTTCGTTATAGTGAACAAAACATGCAGATACTTATATATAACCTGTGCTTATAGTGTAATAACCGACAAAGTATTTGTTCACCGATTGATGAACATAACTGAATCAACAATATGCACACCATATTTTTGAGTACAGCAATGATTCACTCATTTTATTATATAAATATATCAAACTACACACTATTGAATAATATTACAGCAAAAAAACTATGAAAAATCAATCAGAGACATTGAAATAATTAGGTAATTATCTCTTTGTGGCAACTCTGGCCTGACAGCTGGCGAGCAACAGACCACCTGGGAAGCACACCGAGTCAGCACCTATTTTTTGCCAGACTTCCCCGCCCTATAGCGGGCAATATATGACACTTACGATTTTTTTATTATTTTTCCCGTGATCAGTGAACACAAATTAACAGGTTAGGAAGAAAAAATAATTTTTTTTTTTTCAAAATTACATGCGCCTGTGGGGAAGAAAGGATATTATACCCCTAGCATGTTAAGGGTTAAACTATCTAAACACAGATACCAAAGAAATATAAGAAAATTCACCTTCATAAACAGAGTGGTAGACGGTTGGAACAAGTTAGGGGAAAAGGTGGTGGAGGCCAAGACCGTCAGTAGTTTCAAAGCGTTATATGACAAAGAGTGCTGGGAAGACAGGACATCACGAGTGTAGCTCTCATCCAGTAACTACACTTAGGTAATTACACTTAGGTAATTTCGGAACACCACCACCTCTATGGAGAGCACTGCTCAAAAGGATGGAGCCAGAGTTGATCAACCACCAAACACAATAGCCTATGAACTGGGATTGGGTGACTGGCGTGGGAGGTCTGGGGACCCCCCACTTCCCTCTCCCAGGAAGGGGGAAGTTGAGCAGACAGCGGCATGACAACTGCCGTGATGTCATGCTTGTTTGTTTTTCGATTAGGGAGTTCAGCTTGCTAGCTCGGCTTTTGGTCTGCAATTTTTAACCAGCAGTAGTTTGTTTTGGAATTCTTACTTTTTTGGGTGCCTGACCTGGTAGATGGGAGGCAGACTACTTCCAATTACACGGGGGTGTCCATAGGCCATTGCTCCTCATGCTTCTCTGAGGCCTAGAACTCCATCGATAGACTGTTGCCACAGTCTAATATATACACATCAATTTGGTATAGCTCCAGAAAGAGCTGAAGGGGCTCTACACACAAAATACTTGTAACATAAATGATTTATTTTATTAGACTGAAACTTTCTAGAGTCAAGACCAGTCATCAGGTGGGTGGCCATTTCCTCTACCCCACTGGGTGATGATAAAACACACGTGGCTCCCTCCTCCATGGCATGTGATTCATGTTATGAGAGAGGGAGAGTGGCAGCAATGGAGGGAGGGAGGGAGGGAGGGAGAGTGGTAATGAGGGAAGGAGGGAGGGAGGGAGGGAGGGAGAGTGGTAATGAGGGAAGGAGGGAGGGAGGGTGGGAGGGAGAGTGGTAATGAGGGAAGGAGGGAGGGAGGGAGGGTGGGAGGGAGAGTGGTAATGAGGGAAGGAGGGAGGGAGGGAGGGTGGGAGGGAGAGTGGTAATGAGGGAGGGAGGGAGGGAGGGAGGGTGGGAGGGAGAGTGGTAATGAGGGAAGGGAGAGGGGTGGTAGTGAGGGAGGGAGGGAGGGAGTGGTAGTGAGGGAGGGAGGGAGGGAGTGGTAGTGAGGGAGGGAGGGAGGGAGTGGTAGTGAGGGAGGGAGGGAGGGAGTGGTAGTGAGGGAGGGAGGGAGGGAGTGGTAGTGAGGGGGAGGGAGGGAGTGGTAGTGAGGGAGGGAGGGGAGTGGTAGTGAGGGAGGGAGGGAGGGTAGTGGTAGTGAGGGAGAGAGGTAGTGAGGGAGGGAGGGGTAGTGAGGGAGGGAGAGAGAGAGGGAGGAGGGAGAGAGAGGGGAGGGAGAGTGGTAGTGAGGGAGGGAGGAAAAGTGGTAGTGAGGGAGGAAGGGAGAGGGAGGAAGGGAGAGACAGTAAGGGAAGTTGAGCCAGTGTGGGTGGAAGGAAGATTTCACTGAAGGAAAATTTTAATTTCAATCTGGCATATGAAGGTAACTTAACATTTTATCCTGTGACATGATGGGAAATAATTATCTTAACCATAGTATAAAAATTGTAATAGCTTACCTCAATATATTTGTTGACAACAAAATGTAATAAAGTGAATGTAGCATCTTTACTCTTTACATCTTTGATCTTGGGCAGAATCTCCAGCCCAAAACCATCGGCTTGTCCTCTTGTTCTATTGCCACCATTCATATAATTTCCAACAGCTAATATTAGTCCGAATATTCTTTTAATACTGTCACTAGTCATCAATACCTGAAAGAGTACAAATTAAATCATGAATTAAGTACAAAAAACTAACATTGATGTAATGTAACTCCATTTTCTAGGTGAGCCCCGGAGGCTTCCTGGCAACTCCAGGAAGCCTCCTGGCTTATCCAGAAAATGCAGTTTCATTACATTCAATGCTGGTTTTCTGAGGGGATCCCCTAAAGCTCTCTGAAGCTTATCGGGCTAATGTATGTTATATTAGACTGGGACATTAGCTATGGAATTCAGACCTACCTGAGATCATGAGCCAGAACCTGGCCCCCTTCAGACAGGTTGCAGGGAGCAATGGTCATGGAACCCCAGTGGTTGGGGGTTTTCCTTATCTGCCATTGACCGGGGTTAGGCACCAAGAAAGGTAGGCATAACAAAACAAACCCCACATGGTAAGAAACTAACAACAAAAACCAAACAGAGAGGTAGAACTTCCTACAATCCCAAGGAAACAAGCAAACGTAACACAATACTGCTGCACCGCTTGTCCGCGCAGCCCACCCCTTCCCGAGAAGAGGAGGGGGGGCCCCGGACCTCACTGCGCCGGCTGCATAGCACTCCAGTTCGGAAGCCAAGCTTCAACAAATGCAAAAAAAATGCCGACCAGTGGGAGGGAGGGTTGCCAGGGAGCTTCCAGCTCACCCAGAAAATGGTGTTTCATTACATTCAATGCTGGTTTTCTGAGGGGAGCCACTACAGTTCCCTGGAGCTTCATACTCGAAGAGAAGGAAAAGAAAGGGCTGACACGGGAGGCACCGCCATAAACAGGGAAGTAAATGAAATATATGCCAAATTTTTAAAAATATACGTGGAAGTCACACAAACATTCATACCAAAACAGAGATGCAGGGCCAGAAAACAGGATTGGTTCAACAGAAATTATGAGAGGGCAAGAGACCAAAAGACACAAAAATGGAATCAGTATAGAAAGAGGCCAAACCCCCAAGCATACCAGCGATACAAAGATGCGAGAAACAACTATACAGCAGTAAGGAGAGAGGCAGAAAGAAATTTTGAAAAAGGGATAGCGGATAAATGTAAAACAGAACCGGGCCTATTCTACAAATTCATAAACAACAAATTGCAGGTAAACGATAATATCCAGAGGTTGAAAATGGGAAACAGATTCACGGAAAATGAAAAGGAAATGTGTGAAACATTAAATGAAAAGTTCCAAAGTGTGTTTGTACAAAATGAAATCTTCAGAGAACCAGACACAATAAGAATTCCAGAGAACAACAGAGCGGATAGAGGTGTCTAGAGATGAAGTGGAAAATATGCTAAAGGAGCTCGGTAAGAACAAAGCAGCTGGCCCAGATGGCGTTTCACCATGGGTTCTGAAAGAATGTGCATCCGAGCTCAGCATTCCACTTCACCTGATCTTTCAGGCATCCCTGTGTACAGGAATCGTAGCAGACGTGTGGAAACAGGCTAACATAGTTCCAATCTACAAAAGTGGCAGCAGGGAAGACCCCCTCAATTATAGACCTGTATCATTGACAAGTGTAATAGTGAAAGTATTGGAAAAAATAATCAAAACTAAATAGGTAGAACACCTGGAGAGAAATGATATAATATCAGACAGACAGTATGGTTTTCGATCTGGAAGATCGTGTGTATCGAATTTACTCAGTTTCTATGATCGAGCCACAGAGATATTACAGGAAAGAGATGGTTGGGTTAACTGCATCTATCTGGACCTAAAAAAGGCTTTCGATAGAGTTCCACATAAGAGGTTGTTCTGGAAACTGGAAAATATTGGAGGGGTGACAGGTAAGCTTCTATCATGGATGAAAAATTTTCTGACTGATAGAAAAATGAGGGCAGTAATCAGAGGCAATGTATCGGAATGGAGAAATGTCACAAGTGGAGTACCACAGGGTTCAGTTCTTGCACCAGTGATGTTTATTGTGTACATAAATGATCTACCAGTTGGTATACAGAATTATATGAACATGTTTGCTGATGATGCTAAGATAATAGGAAGGATAAGAAATTTAGATGATTGTCATGCCCTTCAAGAAGACCTGGACAAAATAAGTATATGGAGCACCACTTGGCAAATGGAATTTAATGTTAATAAATGTCATGTTATGGAATGTGGAATAGGAGAACATAGACCCCACACAACCTATATATTATGTGAGAAATAATTTAAAGAATTCTGATAAAGAAAGAGATCTAGGAGTGGTTCTAGATAGAAAACTATCACCTGAGGACCACATAAAGAATATTGTGCAAGGAGCCTATGCTATGCTTTCTAACTTCAGAATTGCATTTAAATACATGGATGGCGATA